ACGTGTGCTCTTCCGATCTAACCGTTAGAAAAACAGTAGCTATGATAGCCATTACGCAGTAAAAATAAATAGTAGCATTTCTATTATGCGTTATCATCATTGAATATAACTGTAAGACGACATAACCGCCCAAAAGAGAGATAGCATTGGTAATTTGTCCCAGAACGTTCACATATTTGCTAGGATACAGTTCCGGGATCATTGCCAGAGGAATCGAAATAAATCCGAATGCACCAAAACCCTGCGATTCATAAATTAATTGTGAACTATATGGATAGTTGTAGTAATATATTGAAAATCTTATAAAAAAAAACTTTTTCAAAAAGCTAATTTTTATAGTTCAATCTACGTTAGATTTAGACTTCTGTCAAAATCCTGATATTTTCTTAAACAGTAATTATAATAATTATTACACAAATATATTTATGAAAATGTTATTTTTTTACCACGTAGAGGAGGAAGCAAACGAGAGGAACAACCGTAATGCCAGCAGCCTCAAAAAATTGCAGGTAGATTGCTAATGCGCCCAAAGAGATTGACATACCAGTACCGGACACAATAGAAATGATTCGACGACCAATTCTAATGGAATTTCAAAATTTATGATAGAAGTTTCTCAAGACATTATCATATACAATATATCAAGCAATAATTTGTAACGAATGTGACAAGCGTTTTAATAGCGAGATCTATAGATAAATCACAATAAATTGAGAAAATATCAGAAACACAGCACATTAAATTTACGCTTAATGATTCTAATAGCATGATTACTGATTTGTCATAAACTATTGATGATTTTTGACGCAGTTAATATTTATTTTTGACTTTTTATGTGTAGATGTATTACATAAATATATGTATAATTATTTATATCGTATGAGATTGCGGGCTGTACAGCAAACGAAAATAAATACCTCTTGCTGAAGCATGCTGCAATTATGTTGCTTATCACCAGGACTATCCCTACTATGACGGTGACGAAAAAGGGATCTACTGTGATTCTGATTCTGATAATAATATCGACAGTATAAACTAAAATCACGTACAGCCCACAAATCTTTTGAAAAAGTAAATAAAAATTTAGTATCACAAAAGGTTTCCACACTTCTGGTAAAACGATCGTTTTCTGTATTTTCGTCAGAATGCCCCACGCATTGCGATTAAGAAACGATCTCCATCCGGTTTCTTTAATCGACAAAGAATCTATTTGACAATTTCGAGATATTGACAGCTCGATATAGTTTATCATTTTGGATAACTCTTCTTGGAATTCAATCGTTTCCTGATGCAAACCGCGAATACGAAGTAAAGCGATCTTAGCTTCCTCCTTTCGGCCTTTTAAAAGTAACCACTCAGGACTCTCGCAAATGAAAAAGATATTGCATAGCACGAATAATATCGAGGGGATACTGAAAAGAGCTGCCATCAATCTCCAATTGTTCTAAAATAATAAAAATGTTTTAAATATAAATTTTTATGCATATGTATATTTCTTGTTTTGGAGGAAAAGGATTCTTATACATAAATGCTGTTAGCAAAAATATTAAATTGTTTGTCAATTTAATACGTTACAGTAGAATCCGGGTTCATGCAAAGAACTGTTTCAAGACCGACAAAAAATGGGCCCAGTTGTGTGTGGCTGGATATTGTAACAATAAAAATTATTTCATAGACACCAACATTCGTGTCGGCTTTCATTAGCACTTCGTATATCTGATACATTTTTATATTAACTCGTAAAGGACACCTTTCTTTTGAATGGTTTAGATCAGAAGAGC